CAGAATTTGAGCGGGCACCATGTGCGTGGCGACTGACAATGGAAGGCGCTGACGAGGCTGAGGTGGAGAGTGTTGAACGTTATCAGATGCATGCGATGCATCAAAGCCTGCTATCTAGTTAAAAGGTCTTTCCTCTCGTCGTCGAGGCATCTCTGAGATGGAAGATTGAACAAGAGAAGAGAGCGAATATCTTGGAATCGGGAAGAAGAAGAAAGACTGAGGCCTCGCAAGTTAGAAGAGATTTCGAGATGTCCGAATCATATGCCATGCAGTCGACTTCCACGTGTTGATAGCTGCCCAAGCTGCACACAGAACACAGGAGGGGACCTTGAACCCCTTAGGCGAATATATCCCACCACGCATGCAGATGCAGGTTTTTCGGTACCCCACTCGTCTCTCTTATCAGATCCGATGCGTTCCGAGCTCGGCCGCCGAGCAGAAACTGCACACCAAGTCAGTCACGCCACCCACCAGAACCACGAGCCAACCACCAGTGTGACAAGGGCGAGGACAAGCTCGACGCAAAGAGACTCACGGACAAGGACGTTGCTGCTCACCTTGTAGCACCGACTGTGTCCTCTCCAGCTCTCACCGTCGCCCGTCCATCGCAGCGTGCTGCCCACCCAAACTCACCATGGAAGACCTCTTCTCTCTTCCCAGTGCGTCGTGCCCCTCCTACTGGTGACATCTCCACATGCCAGCCAAGCTCATTCATCGCTAGTCTTCTTCATCACCTTTCGCGAGTCGCTCGAAACAGCCATCATCGTCTCTGTTCTTCTCGCCTTTATCAAGCGCACCCTCGACCCTCAACGCGATGCCGTCCTCTACTCGACCATGGTGCGCCAGGTCTGGCTCGGCACCGCTGTCGGCGTCCTCGTCTGCATCCTCCTCGGTGCTGTTCTCATCGGTGGCGTCTATGGCCTCGCCGCCGACGAGATGGGTGGCGCCGAGGACATCTGGGAGGGCCTGTTCTCCCTCGGCGCCTCCCTCGTCATCACCCTCATGGGCGCCGTCCTGCTGCGCGTCACCAAGCTGCAGGACAAGTGGCACGCGAAGCTGAGCAAGGCCCTCAGCAGCACGAACGACGACAACGGCCGCCACGGCACCTTCATGGACCGCTTCCGCTTCCTCTCCGAAAAGTACGCCCTCTTCATCCTGCCCTTCATCACCGTCCTGCGCGAGGGCTTCGAGGGCGTCCTCTTCATCGCCGGCGTCGGCATCGGCCTGCCCGTCACCTCCATCCCCCTGTCTGTCCTCTCCGGCCTGCTCGTCGGCGCCGTCGTCGGCCTCATCATCTACAAGGGCTCCAACGTGGCGCCCATCCAGTACTTCCTCGTCTTCTCGACGTGCTTCCTCTACCTCGTCGCCGCCGGCCTCTTTTCCAAGGGCGTCTGGCACCTCGAGGCCCACCAGTGGAACCTCATTGTCGGCGGTGACGCCCCCCAAGCTGGGTTCGGGGCCGGGTTCGTACGACATTCGCCGCAGCGTCTGGCACGTCAACGTGAGTTCCTCTTTTCCCGTCTCCAGCCTCTTCCCGTCTCCAGCCTCCTCCTCGTCTTCCCCTCCTCCTCGTCTTCCCCTCCCCTCCCCCCCTTTCGTGGGGGAGGCCGTCAACTAATGACGCAGTGCTGCAACCCCGACCTCAACGGCGGCGGCGTCTGGGGCATCTTCAACGCCGTACTCGGCTGGCAAAACTCGGCTACCGTCGGCTCCGTCGTCTCGTACAACCTCTACTGGATCGCCGTCGCCCTGGGCTTCGCTGCCATGGCCTGCCGCGAACAGGGGCGCTGGCCCTTCCACAAGGCCGACGCCGGCAGCGCGGCGCTGCGCCGGCCGAGGCCGACCGGGAGCCGCTTCTTGCGGGTGGTGCGAGGTAGGTTCCTTTTACCCTGCCACATCTTCTTTTATCAGAGAGAATCAGCGTCGTGAGACTAGTTGCCTGTGAGTAGATCTGCTGGTGATTTGGAGATGCTGCTCTGGGGACTGGGGCGAAAGGCGAAGAGGCCGTGAGCTCTTCGTCCGTCATGATGGAGCGAGACCTACAGTGGTCTCCCCTCTTGGCGTCGGGTATTGTTTCGGACAGATGCAGAGAGGAGCGGCCATGAGTGCGGTTGCGCAGTCCTTCCAAAAGACAGGAAGGACATGCCGACGAGAGGAGAGCACGACACGAACATGCTGGCACGGTGAGAGGATGAAAGAACACATGGGATCCATTGGCCACAGGCCTGGTATGAATCTCGGGAGGGCGCCAGCTAGAAGGCTGCTAGGTCCGCATACATAGGAGAGCATTAGACAGCACCTCTGTCCTGTACACACCTGAAACATGAAATCCCAGCCTACGCAGAAAACCTGCTCAAAACGGCTCATGTCAAGCCTTTTCAGTCGTTACCCCCGCAATCCCCCTCATGACGAGCCACCCCGCCAGCAG